GCAAACGGCGGTCCCTGCTGTTCCCATCAAATTAATTAACCGCGCGCTATTGATGGCCGCTCAAGGCTGACGCAGGCGGCTGGCCCTGCGGTCGCCTCCAGGACACGAGGACTCAGAGTCCGCAGCCCATTGGGCCTCTACCACCTTCTGCAGTCCCTGCCCAGCACCACAGGGGACTCCAAGGACTCCCCTTCCAGGCCCTGCCTGAGCCCTTGATGACCCTGGGGCATGCACACCGAGGTCTAGATTGGCAGACACTGACACACACCCAGGTTGTCCACACACGTGTGCAGATGCAAAATCATGAACCCGCAGCACACAAACACAGGGCCAGGGATGTACTTTAGGCACACAGGCAAATGCCCATGCAGTTAGACACAGGCACAGTGGCAGCTGAGCTGAGGGAACCGGAGCCTGGTGGGTGAGGACAGCAGGGCTAAGGGAGTCTTGCTGCGGGAGGAACATAACGTCTGGGGCCATGGGCCTGCTCCATCAGCTCCAGGCCCGGGTCCAGCAGAGCGAAGGGTCAGACAGAGGTTCTGAGCAGTGGCCCACTGCCTGGTGCCCGTACTGCCCTCCCATGGCATTCTCAGAGCCCTGCCCACAGTCCCTCCACCGCTGGGTCCTCTCCTCACCTCTGGGACATTTTTCAGTATTGTTCCCTCTTGGTCTTTCGCTAGGGCTCAGCTTCTGCACTGACCTCCAGTGTGGGGGACCAAGGCTTGCAGAGCCCCTGGTTCAGACTATGGGGATGAGGCCTGGCCCAGAGCCTTAGGCCAGTTTGGGGACTTCAGCCCTGAGGGTCCCCCTGTTCCAGAGCTCCGAAGCAGGGCTGCCCAGTGGCTCAGGCATTCTGGAAAACTATCTGGCTGGTGTCCAGACCGAAGGGCAGAGTCGACAGAGGACTAAAGGTCTGGGGGCTGAGCCCGTTCTAGGCCTGGTGCAGCTGGTGTCTGCAGGGTATGGGTAGCAGCAAGTGCCCGAACAGCTGTAGCTGCCACGTGAGGCTGATCTCTGGGATGGTGAGGAGGGCCTGGAAAGGGGGTCTCTCCTGTTGGGGAAGTGAAGAGAGGAAATGATGTCTCCTCCAAGCTGTCATTCCTAGTCCTGGCAAGAAGCATCCCATTCTGCTTAAAGGGACAGGAACCCATAACCCTCTTGTGGAGAAGCAGGACAAAGGACCTGGGTTTCCCATTCCCAGCCCTTGGGTCCTGGAAGGCAGGACATGGCTGGGCCTGTCCACCTTGCAGCGCCCACTCCAGGCCTGGGAAACCCTGGCCCTGTGCCCAAACCTGCTCCCCCAGGAGCAGCCAGAAGCCAGGAGGAAAGTTTGGCCTGGTCTCGTTCCCCTTTCAGTGCAAGTCTTGGGCCAATGTTGTCAATCCAGGCCCTGGGAAAAGATGAGGCTCGCAGGTTGGCAGGGCTGGGGCTGAGCAGCCTGGAGAGGATTGTACCTTAGGCACAAAGTGCAGGGGGAAACTGGAAGGCTCAGACTGAGCACGGGGCAGCCAGTCCATGAGGACTGGGCTCCCAGCTTTGCCTACCACCTGCCCCTCCCCTACTGCAGCCATATAAGGAGGCCCCTCCCTTTCCCCACACCCCACTGCACTTCCAGGGACATCCTCCACCTCGCAGCAGGGCCTGCTCACACCCGCCATCCCTCTGCTCACTTTGTACAGGGAAAGAACAAGACATACCCTGTCTATTGGTCCTCTATCGCTGCAGTAACAAATTTCCATACACTTAGTGGCTTAAAACAACTCAGTTATTACTAAACAGTTCTATTGTTTAGAAGTCTGACACAGGTCTCCCTGGAATAAAACTGAGGTGTTGGCAGGGCTGTGTTCTGTTACAGAGGCTCTAGAGTAGGATCTGTTTCCTTGCCTCTTCCGGTTTCTAGAGGATGCCCACATTCCTTGGCTGGTAGTCCCGTTTCTCTGTCTTCAAAGGCAGAAACATCACATCTCTCTAACCTTCCTTCCTTTGTCACCTCTCTCTCTGATTGTAGCCAGGAAAAGTTCTCCACTTTTAAGGACTCATGATTAGATTGGGCCCACTGGCTAATCTCCTCATCTCAAAATCCTTAACTTTAATCACATCTGCAATGTCCTTTTCTTACCAAGTAGGGTAACATATTCACAGGTTCCAGGGATTAGGCTGTGGACATCTTTGGGAGACCGTTACCCTGCCCACCACACCTGTGGTCTGGCCAGAGACCACTGTGGCTCAGGGAGAGAGTGACAATGAGCTGAGCTAGGGGCAGGAAGTAGGCCTGAGGGGCCCTTCCTCTTTGTTAGGGCCAGGTGGTGAGTGGGTGGTAGTTTTGGGGTGCTCAGTTGCTAGATAGGATGCTGATTCCCGCCAGGGCTCCAAAATTCAGTCTCCCTTTTAGCAGGATGGGGCACTGGGTTGAAAGCCCACCCAGGAACCAGGCTCAGCTCTCAAGTGGCTGGGGAACCCCCCAACACACCCTTTGCTTAGTTTGGACTCAGAGGATCGCCCCCTCTGCCAAACTGGGCAGCCTTCTCAAGACACAGAATCCCTCCATTAGCTCTTCTCCTGGGCTCCTGTGCCACATTGAGCAGCCCAGAGGACACCATCCGCAGGATGGGTCTCTCTGGAGGGTGTGGGCACTCCTTTTCAACACATGATTTCCTGTTGCCCTTACCAGGATGTGGGACCAGGAATTTGTACGGTTTGAAGGTGGTCTCCAGAATTCTGAGTCTCCTGGGGGGGGGGTTGGGGGGTTCTTTCCCTCCTTCCCACAAGAGACGGTACCAGATCCAGAAGTCAGCACCATCCCTCCCTATGGTTCTGAAGACTTCCTGTGTGTAGGAAGGGGTTAATTGGCCAAGTTATCCTGTGACCCACTGGTTCCCTCTTCTCCTAGCCCTGGAGGCCTTGCTCCTCTGGGTCTGGAGAGGCTGCTTAGCAGGCTGGGGCATTCAAGTGGGAAGCGAAAAGAGAGGAGCAGCAACGTTCGGACATGGACACCCCAGGCTTTGGGCTTCTGTCAACTCCACCCCTTACTGGGGATGGTGGCGAGCATGGAGGGCCCAGTTGAGTAGACTAGCAGAGCTCCTAAGGGGGGCTAAAAGCAACCCTAACACCTGGGGGGCCCAGAGATGTCCCAGCTCCTCTTTTCCACTCCAGGCCCGGGGCAGCCACACCTCCCTGGGAGTAGGAAGCTCCGAGGAGAGGCTCGCCCCTCACGAAAGCTTCTGGCCCTTTGATGTGGCTTCTCTGGTACTGAGCTGTGAAAGGGGCCCTCCAGACTCCCACGGCTTTTGATTCCTTCCCTGGCATGACCCATGCAGGCAAGGCCCCATGGCTTGGACTTCAGGGTTCTGAACTAGAGTTCAGGGGCCCATTCTAAGGTTGCTGGGATCTCCTGACTGAGACCAGGCCAACAAAGGCCAGCTGTGGGACTCTGCAAGTTACCAACAGATGCAGGACTCGGCACCCGCCCCCTCCCCACCTCACAGTCAGCACACTCAGGTGGAGCCCATCTCTGCGGCCCGGGCTCCTTGGTGCTCCTCCAACGCAGCCACATTCTCCTGCCTCTGAGCCCGATATTCTTTATATTGTACTTGGTATGCCCAAACCTTCCCAGTGCCCCTCTCCCCTTACCAAATGTTTCCTGTCCTGCAAGGTCCAGTCTACGAAACCATCCTGATGCCACTAGCTGGACCCTCCTAGCTGCTCTATCAAACTATGCCCCTCAGCTTGACTTTCAGTCCTCTACCAGCCTGGCCTTCTCCCGACACCCAGCACGTAGCATCCCCTCTAAAGCAGGTCCCTTAGTTGTCCCCAAACAGAGCTGCTTACCCCTTTCAAATAGGCTATTTCCTGCCAGGCTGCCCCTCGCCTCCTCCAGGCAGCCTTCCCTGACTGCCTCAGCCCTGTCAGTGGCACACAGGTCACCATTTAGTTCTTCCTAATGAGCGTTGCCACCTTTGTTCACGTCCTCAGATAACCTGTTCTATGGCAGGGTCCACAGGATACGCTGATGGGTAGACAGGCGCTCCTAATTCCCGACTCCACGAATTCTCCCTTTTAATGTCCACCCCTGCCCCCTTCTGAGTTGTTCAAGAGCTGAGTCAGTCCCGGCCTGTTTGGAGAACAGTTAACTGGCCTCTCTGAGTTCCCATTCACCTCCTATCTCTGTCCCCGCCTGGGAGAAGAAAGGCAGGCAGAGGCTGCAGCAGCTCACAGACACACCAGGCAGGTTGAATGTCAAGTGCACTTTACTGGGTCCCTGGGCCTTCCAACGCTATCCTCATCGCGCCTGGGGTGCCCCTTCCCTACATTGCCAGCTGCACAGGAAGTGGGGTGGGCAGAGGGAGCACACGTGGAGTGGCTCATTCTCCTGCTCTGAAGGGTCTTGGATGATGTTGGGCCTCAGCTGTATGCCTCTCCCCTGCAGCCCCCATCCCATGCTAGACCCTCCTTGGGATAGAGAAGGGGGATGCCTGGGCCTTCCACACAGGAAGCTGGCCTCAAACCAGGCACCAGTTCCTGCTTAAAATGGGGCAGGGGGCCTGTTCTTGGCCCTTTTGTCATAAATTAATTGTCTATATATATGTGGGTTTACTTTGGGGCTCTCAATTCTGCTCTGAAGGGTTTTGGGTGATGTTGGGCCTCAGCTGTGCGCCTCTCCCCTGCAGCCCCCATCCCATGCTAGACCCTCCTTGGGGTAGAGAAGGGGGATGCCTGGGCCTTCAGCACAGGAAGCTGGCCTCAAACCAGGCACCAGTTCCTGCTTAAAATGGGGCGGGGGGCCATGTGCAAAACTCTCCCAGGGGCAATGGCGAGGCAGAAGGGGCAGCATCCTGTTCCTGTCAGGGAGAGGGCTGGGTAGCCCTGGGAGCCAGGCTGGCCTTTTCCATCAGGCCCAGAGGAGCTGGTGGTTGAAAGAGTGAGGTTCAGCCAGCTGAGGCTGGAGGAATGGCCAGGAGGGGCAGCTGGTCCAGCTTGGCACCCCCTCCCCCAGTCGTGGGTCACCAGTCCCGCTCAGCTGGTTCTCGGTAGGGCAGGCCTAAGAGCCTGAAGACATCCTTCTCAGTGGGGGTGGGCAGTACTCGGCCAAGCCCCACCTTGAGGCCTTGGGTGTCCCGGACCACAGCTGTGCTAAGCGCATGCTCCGACAAGCTCATGCCCTTGGTCTTGGCCAGAGCCCTCATGGAGCGGTTGAAGTGAGCAGAGCCAGTAAAGTAGAGCAGGGCACAGGCAAACTCACTGTAGGGAACTACAATGATGTCCAGTCGTCGGTGCCGCCGCCCCGGCCCCGGGAGCTGGCATACACCCAAGTACTTCTGCTGCTGGCCGTTCTCCTCCTGGCTCACCAAGTCATCCGTCAGGAACCCTGGCCCAATACAGGAGGGCTGTTGGGAGGGCAGGGAGCCAGGCCCTGGGCTGCCCAGCCCTGGGCCGCCTAACCTCCCAGGCTTCTCCTGATTATCCTTGGGTCCTCTATTCCCAGCTCATCTACTTATTTGCTGGGCGACCTTGCGCTCTCCAGGTCTGTGTCCTTTTCTGTAAAACATGCATAGTAATTCTTCTCCAAATCCCCCACAGGGGCACAGAATGATCAGAGGAGGCACTCAGACCGCAGCTATTACCGAGCACCTCTTGGGAGGTAGGGGAAGCTGATTCATCTCTTCCCTGCAGTGGCTCTGGCCACAGGAGAAAGGTGGAATTTTCATGAAGCAGCCTTCCCCTGCTTCCTGCCTAGGGATTGCCACTTTGAGGTTCTCCCTCCTGGGGGCCACTCCTCCCCTGCCCCCGGGCTCACCCAGGGGTGGGGCTTATACCTCGCTGCCGGAGGCTGTCCAGGAGGCGGCTGAAGATGCCCTGGTGAGACCGGCCGTCCGGGTGGGTGACCAGCACGTCCACATCACCGCAGGTTGCCTTGCCCCGTCGGTACGAACCACATGCCACGCACAACAGCCCAGGGTTGAAGGCCTGAGCTGCTTCCCGGACCTGAGAAAGGACAGCGAGGGGGGTGAGGCCTGTGGGCCTCAAGCCCTGCCAGGAATTCATCTCCACAGCAGCGCAAGGGCCTTCCCTGACTCAGGAGCCCATATGCCCCCTCATGCCCCAAGCCAATCCCTGGATGCATGATCCTGCCTGAGGGAGAGAGCCCCAAGGAACAGAGGCAGAGCTCCACCCTGGAGAGTGGCAGGTCTCCAGCTTGGCTAGGACAGAAGAGAAGAAAACGTGCTCACATCACCGGGGGTGGCCTGAGGAGAGAGATGAGAAGATGTGCTCGGATTCTGAGGGAAGGCACCGCTC